TGTTAATTTGTTCAAGCAATCATAGCACATCTGGTATGAAAGCTGCAATTAAATTCATCACCTGGCTAAGCTTACAATATTCCCATTATTATCCAATATGAATTGGTCTTTTGCAGAGGACAAAAAGGCAAGTTAAATGGGGATATGGTGGGAGTCACCACCTCTGGTTGCTTTAAGACCTTGATTGTGGCACTAATCTCTGCAATCTCTTCTGAAATATGCTATGGCTTTTTGTTTACTATTTTTCTAGGTAGAGGCAGTTCTAGCGGATTCCACTTGGCCTTTTCAACCACAAAGCTCTCACTCCACAGGTCAGAGAACTAATGTGAAAATTCTGCCATTTGCTGAATATATCTATTCCAATTAGGCATTCTGGGGACTGGGGACATTATCATGGAATGGGTTTGAGACCCACTGGACCCCTGGTGAGGTGAAACGGTGCTAAAACTTTGTTGTTTACTTGACCTCCATGAGTGCCTAGTCTGTTTGGTGAGACACAGTGACATTTTGAGTTTCCTGGAATTAGTATCTGTTCAGAACCAGGGTCTAATAAACCCCCCAAAGGTTTATTTAATTGTTTTCCCAATGCACAAGGACTCTAGTGAAAAGTCATAGTTCCCTTTGGGGAAGGCTGAGAGAAAGATTAACAGTGTCAATTTTTGTCAATGTAGTGGGGTTCTTCCTCTGGAGGACTGAAGCTTTTCTTCATTGGTGAGTTTCCGAGTCCAGAAGCTGGCTCAAATTTAGAAACTGATTGAGAGCCTATGGACCATGAGGTGCCCAGATAGCTGATCAAACGCTAGTTTAAATGTTACCGTGAGAATATATTTAGATGAGATTTACATCTAAATCAGTAGACTATGAGTAAAGCAGATTATCCTTAAAATGGGTGGACCCTATTCAATCAGTTAAAAACCTTAAGAGCAAAAAATACAGAGGTGCTCCCCCCAAACAAGGAATTCTGCTTCCAGGCTGCCGTCAAACTGGACCTAAAATGATCAACTTTTCCATGAGTCTATCCTGCAATTTTATTTTTTTTTACTCGATAACTTCCACATTTGCATGAGACAATTTTTTAAAAATCATTCAATCTCTTTTTCTCTCTTTCATTTTAGATATAGATATATGGTGTCTCTGGAGATCCTTTGGCTGATACAGGGTCTAGGAATGTACACTGTATTCAGAATTCAGTGGTTCTCAGTGGCAAAGTTACACTGATAAGAAAAGCAATGTCCTACTTCCCACCTCAGAGAGACAAATGAGTCACTTGAGCTAGGGGGTACATAGCTTGGAAAGAGGGACAACAGAGGGTAGTAGCAACTGCAAGTCTGAGATTACAAACAGACCTTGCACTGGAGAACAAGGATGAAGAGGTTGACAAGCATCATCCTCAGCCAAAATGAAAGGTCCCTGTAGTGCCATACCAAAGAGTATAGATCCTGTGTCTACTCCAGTGAGGATTTCTGGCTCTCATGTCTACAATTTCTGATCCTCATTTGGTGATGACTTTAGTTAGCGCTGCCTACACATTGTCTGAATAATCCTGTAGGCTGAAAGCTCCTTGTGCTTGAGATTTTCCTGAGAGAGAACTCACCTCACACTGAGAACATGAACATGCCTAATTAATAGCCCATCATAGACCTGAGGTCTCAGAATAGATGACATAATTGCTACTTAGAGGTTCGGAAGTAATGGGGAGGGGAGCACCCTAGAACTGGTACACAGACAGAGAGAAAATCCACAGTTGATGTCCATTAGCCTTTTTGAGCACTGGTTGCCTTCTCCAGCCCTTTACTGAGAAGAGGGAGTGTAGCTCAGAGTAATTCATAAACCTCATATTATTTTCAGCTGAGAGATTCATTACTAGGGCCAGGAACATCTGTTTAAAAGAATCCTTCAGTGTGCAGATCTTTTCTGTTGAATATACAAATTCAAGTCTTCATCATTTTGTAACTGAGTACTTCATCCTGAACTGTGGGATTTGGTTTTCCAGGAAATAAAAAGGCATTAGTGTCCCGGGAGAATCACTTGTCAATAATTCAAGTTAGTCCAGACTGTTTCTAATGAGTGAAAGCCTCCATCTTCAGAGCACTGGGTGACAGGAAGGCAGAGGTCAAAGGGAAAATTTATAGCTTCAATCTCCTCAGTTTCCCTGGATGGTGCTGAGGCAGGCGTATATGCGTACACATACACAATTACTGAGAATATTCACCTTGGAATCCCTCCTCTGACTAAAGTTACCGCAAAGATAGAAACCTTAACATTTCTGTGAACAAGCAGTGTCAAGAGCAGAGACTATTTGATGAGAAAACCCATTAAAGAAAAAAAAAATTCATCTAGAAACTTGGGAAAGAGTTGGAAATAAAAATGCCAATAGACATAGGGATCCTACCATGCCCTTCATAAACATCCACTGCAAAAATAATTCTCCCCACTGAACAAAGAGAGCAAGTGTTTTTTTCTTCATTTATGAAAATTACCATGCCCTTTTAGCTTAATAAAAAGAGTGAGGCTGACCTGTGCTCACAATTCACTTATTGATACCATTGTTGAGAAATGCCACATGTGCTTCTGATTTTATTTGCATCACTGTACATAGTGCATTTCTAAAACTCAGCAAAAAGGAAAAATTTAAAATTAGAGCACTCAGAAATACAAAAAACAATTTAAGACTAGGCAGCTACGAAATTAAGAAGAAAGATTTTTTCCCGTTCATAGGCACTTATTTTAAAACTTTCTATAAGTAAAATCTGCGATTCTTAATTTAGTTATTCTATTTCTTAAAACAAAGTGAGAATAAGAATTTTGAAAATAAACTATTACATATTCTTAAAAATCACTGACTTCAGTCACGATGAGAGGGAATCCAAAATTAATAGACACCATAATGAGGCTGGGAATGGCCTCTTCACACCTGTAATCCTAACACTTTGGAAGATGAAGTGGGCAGATCGCTTGAGCCCAGGGGCTCAAGACCAGACTGGGCAACATAATGAAACCCTGTCTCTACCAAAAATACAAAAAATTCCCAGGGCGTGGTGGTGTGCACCTGTAGTCCCAGCTACTTGGGAGGCTGAGATGGGAGGATGAACCCTGGAGGTGGAGGTTGCAGTGAGCCGAGATTGTGCCATTACACTCAGCTTGGGTGACAGAGACAGACCCTGTCTCAAAAACAAAACAAGAAAAAGACACCATAATGGATTACCACTTACGCACTAGAAATAAGTGAAGTTATTAAAAGTACTCAGTTGTTTAATTTTTTGAAAACCACATCAGCTAATTTTCATTATTATAATTATTTTTTACAAATAATAAACTGAACCCCACATAATTCAGTTTGTTTGATAAAAACTAATATGTAGCAACACTGGAATTATAATAAAATCATAAATATGTGTGTGTATTATATATTGAAGGCAGAATTGAAGCAGAATTTTGACAGGGGTATATGAGATCTAAAAAATGAGATTCAGTAAATCCAATCCTAGTTTCCTGGAAGGCACAACCTGTTCCATGTGACATTAACAGAACTTATTTTTTCAGTAATTTGTAGAACAAATATTTATTAGGTTGAAATACTTAGATAGATGCTTTATACTTTAGGAATTTATTTTTTCACAATGATCCAAAGTATTAGATGAAGTTTGCTTGTTTTATTTTGCTTTTAATTGACAAATAATAAATGTACATATTTAAATGGTACAGTGTGAAGTTTTGATACATGTATACGTTGCATAATAATCAAACCAGAGTAATTAGCATTCCATCACCTCAAATATGTCATTTCTTTGTGATGAGAATTTTCAAAATTTTCTCTTCTAGCTACTTCAAAATATATGCAATATGTTCTCGTTAACTCTACTTACACTACTATGCAATAGAACATTAGAACTTATTTAAGATGTTTTTAATACAAAAGTTATTTTAAGAAAATAAGCACAGACTGGGCATGTTGGCTGAAGCCTCTAATCCCTGCACTTTGGGAGGCTGAGGCGAGTGGATCACCTGAAGTCAGGTGTTTGAGACCACCTGACCAACAGGGTGAAGCCCCATCTCTACTAAAAATACAAAATTAGCCAGGTGTGGTGGCAGGTGCCTGTAATTCAAGCTACTTGGGAGGCTGAGGCAGGAGAAATGCTTGAACCTGGGAGGCGGAGGTTGCAGTGGGCTGAGATTGCACCTTTGCACTCCAGCCTGGGCAACAAGAGTGAAACTCCATGAGAAAACAAAAAGAAAGAAAGAAAAGAAAAGAAGCATAGCTATTTAAGTATGTTATTCACAGTTAAACTGCTGATGGAGAGACAGGAGTCAAACTCAGATACTGTAGTTATGAAACCTCTACACTTAGAGCATACGTTTTATGATATTTTTTCCTTTTTTTTTTTTTTTTTTTCGAGACGGAGTTTCACTCTTGTTACCCAGGCTGGAGTGCAATGGCGCGATCTCGGCTCACCGCAACCTCCGCCTCCTGGGTTCAGGCAATTCTCCTGCCTCAGCCTCCTGAGTAGCTGGGATTACAGGCACGCACCACCATGCCCAGCTAATTTTTTGTATTTTTAGTAGAGACGGGGTTTCACCACGTTGACCAGGATGGTCTCGATCTCTTGACCTCGTGATCCACCCGCCTCGGCCTCCCAAAGTGCTGGGATTACAGGCTTGAGCCACCGCGCCCGGCCCGATATTTTTTCTTTAACTCTTTGATGAATAATAGTGTAAACTGACACAGGGCTAAGGACTCATTCTTTGGTGAGCTGCTACAAGATGATATAGAAAGGCTGTTGAAAATCTTTTCTTTGTCTTCTTAGCCAGTGTCAGAGGCAATTGCGTGGTAAATATTTGGCAGAAGTAATACCTAAATAGTGGTCTCATTTTATGAAGTATAGGTCACTTTTCCTTGGGAGTATGGAAAATGATGGAAAAAATTGCTATCAAATGTCAATAAAATATTGGGGAGAATATGACACAAAGCAATTACTACATTTTACTGAATAAAATCTTAAAAAAGGGAGAAGGGAGACAACAAGAAAAAGATGGTTAATATGGTGCAAATGAGTTCAGGTGTATGAGATGCACCTGGGTAAAAGGTGCTGTACAGAAGCGGCTCAGTGTGTAAGACGGTTCAAGACCCTGGTGAGCACAGAGTCATGGGTAATTCACATGTCATAGGATTGAAATATGGAAATACAGGACAAGAAAAACCACAGTTAGAAAACTTATAGATGAGAAAGCCATTGTTTGTGACATTGAAGAATGAGACAGTGCAAGCCTCATAGTCTAGGAAAACTCCAACACGATTAGGACAAACAGTCATAAAGAGGGGCACGATCAAAGGAGCAGAAGGAGTAGAGTGGGAACCGTCCTGGAAATCACTATATTTAACTGAATCCTGGAAAGCACTATAGTTATCTTCATTCTGTAACCCTATAACCCAGTAGCCATTTTTAGGTTGATAATTTTCAGTTCCTGGAAAATTCCGATGTGTAGTGCGTTTCAAGCTAACACATACTCCCAGGATCCAAGCCCTTTTATTGGACACGTCTACCTCCCAGTAATGTTTCCCTGATGTGATGCTTGGGGAGCCCAGGACACCATTAAAGTGCTTGACTTTCAGAAATGGGTGATGTATCTGTTCCTGACATCTCACTTGTCTCCCATCTTCAGAAATGACAGTACATGAAGGGTGACTTGAAACCAGTGTCACATGAGCTGTAGAAAAATTAACAGATCAGGTAAGAGATATAATGTAACTGTGTTACATTATATGAGAGAAATCTTAATATTAAGACTTGAAAGAAAACTGGAAGGAAACCTCTTCAGCACTTATAAGGAGGGGTAGGTTATGTGTGTGTCAGAAGAAGAAATATAAATCTTAAAACATGAGACCTAACAGAGAACATAAAATTCTTAAAAGATAAAAACAATAATAATGATTAGGCACTGGGTGGCTTATAATAATGTGATTTCTCCTTACCCCAGTAGCGTTGGACTTCTGTCAGCTCTGAAATGATAAAAATGCATAATATTGAATACAAGTAAAAGGAGTCAGCACTGAAATTCATTTTCTCTCCAGATTAGGGAAATAGTAGGCATGCCCTATGTTAGGGCAGTAAACTGGTGAATGACAGGGTGAAATAGCCACCTAGCCATTTCCCATTAAATATAATCCCATCAGCAGCAGATAATATCCATCTTCCCCTATCCCCTCTATCCATGTTTGGAAACAACACCCTCTTCTCCATTTAGCACCCTGACATGACTTGAATTCCACAACCCCGCAGTTGATCCAGCTCTCCTCACCTTTAAACACTTGTAGCATTCCTTTCAGATTAGGAGCTCCAAATACTCTCCGTTTTTCATTAAGAAAGATTTCTGGCTTCTGCAAAGTCACTTTCTCAATCCTAAAAATTAAACAACAAAAAAAATGGCTTCCCTTCCAAATCTCTGGCCTTGTGTCCCTGGAACACCCCTGACTTTCTATCATTTCAGCCCATCGATGCACTTGAACTCTCTTTTTGGGGATCCTGAGAAGAGAGAGTGCAAACTCTTGACCCTGGAGCCAAACAAAATGTTCTCATTTGCCTGCCCACTTACTTTCTGTGGGAACGTGGGAAGATCTTAACCTCTCAGAAGTACACTTTCTTTCTTCCAAAATGAAATAATTAACCTTTCCATGTCTACCTTCTTAAACTCATGGGACATTAAAAAGTATGTGGGGGAGGGGCGGAGATTTTAAAACAAAACAAAACTTGGGTGCCTTACAAAAGAAACTCTAACATTCAATGAGTGGAAACGTCAACACTATGTACATGAGCTCCCAGGGAGATGGCTGGAAAGTGAGGTTACAGAACCTGCATCCTGGGGGTTTGAGACATATCAAGAGAGGAATCCTGTTTGGAGAGGCCTAAGACCTTCAAAGCTATTTCCAGTAGGGAGGTACTCAGATAATATCTGAGGTTTCAGATTTCCGGGAAAAATCACAAACACTTGGCAAATGAGATATTATGTGTGAACCAAACTAATACTGGTCTGAATTTTATGTGGTTAGAAAGAACTTGATACTACCAGGTAGGTGTATGATTTTAGACAGAAGAATAACACCTTTTTATACTCTTCTAAATAATGCAACTGAGGTGGATCAATTCTTTGTACTGTGACCACATATTATCCAGAATGTTATTTTGAAATATTATTCCAGAAATAAACATCTGATTTTGGAAATCTAAATAGAAGTAAAGAAGGAACTGATTCTTTTCCAGGAGGAAAATATAAATGTGAGGGAATTGTCCCAATGGACAATTATGGGTATACAGCAGAAAAAGAAGACATGGCTCTTTCAAAATAAATCAAGTACCTATGAAATACAGAAAAAGAGCTGGATGTAGGTAATAAAATGGTGATGATGCAGGGGTCTGATACTGCAACACCTCATCCGTAATACCACTGCTGAACCACGCACTGAGTCTCCACCACCCAAATTTTCTACCATAGAATCTCGTCTATTTTTTAAATTTTTTTATTTAATTTTATTTGATTTTTCCAAGACAGAGTCTCACTTTGTCACCCAGACTGGAATGCTGTGGCGCAGTCTTAGCTCACTGCAACCTCTGCCTCCTGGATTCAAGCAAGTCTCATGCCTCAGCCTCCCTAGTATCTGGGATTACAGGCATGTGCCACCATGCCCTCCTAATTTTTATATTTTTTTGTAGAGACGGGATTTTGCCAGGTTGGCCAGGCTGGTCTTGAACTCCTGACTTCAGGTGATCTGCCTGCTTCAGCCTCCCAAAGTGCTGGGATTATAGGTGTCAGCCACCACGCCTGGCCAAATCTGATCTATTCTTAATAGTTACAGAACATTTGGCTGTGCAAGGTGGCTCACACTTGTAATCCCAGCAATTTGGGGGGCCGAGGAGGGTGGATCACAAGATCAGGAGATATCAGCCTGGCCAATAAAATACAAAAAATTAGCCAGGTGTGATGGCATACGCCTGTAGTCCCAGCTACTCAGGAGGCTGAGGCAGGTGAATCGCTTGATTCCAGGAGGTGGAGGTTGCAGTGAGCTGAGATCGCGCCACTATGCTCCATCCTGGTGACAGAGCAAGACTCTGTCTCAAAAAAAAAAAATAAATAAATAAAAACTAACAACAAAAACAAACGAACAATAGTTATCAAACATTCAAATACTGATTTATGACCAGAAATTTCAGAAATTTATGATTAAAAAAACTTAATTTTTCTGCCTTGGGAGATGTTTTATTCTCATTGAACCCATTAGAATGGCTATAAATCTCTCCTCATTTTAGAAAACGACTATCTATGTCCTCCCGCACATACCTTTTTATGACATCATTCACACCCTAGGAAGAAGAGAAAAAACATAAATTAAGAAAGAATAGTCTCTCCTCATTTACAAAGCTTCACTACATTTCTCCCAGTCCCTAATGTACTGAGAATGGAGATGGTGTCAGTGTGAAAGACAAGAAAAGCAAAGACTTAAGGCAGTCATCCCAGAAGACTCATATGAGGTTTTCAAGTTTTCTTAAAAGTAGAAACAGCTTTCCTCCTTGTGAAAGAGGCTTCCAGTGTCTGCAGATGGGACATGTTTAGAAGGAAAAGAAGAGACTGACAATTTGTTTGTCTCCAAATGTATATGGCTCTCCAAGAAATGATTTAAATAATTAGTGCTTCTCTGATTTATTAAACAGATATACAGCCTAGGCAACATAGCATGACCCCACCTCTACAAAAAATAAAACAAATTAGCCAGGCATGGTGGCATGAGCCCCTAGTCCCAGCTACTTGGGAAGCTGAGGTGGGAGAATTGCTTGAGCCCAGAAGTTTGATCAAAGCTGCATTGAGCTAGGATCATGCTACTGCACGTCGCCCTGGGTGACAGAGTAAGACCCCATCTCTAAAACAAAACAAAACAAAAACACAAAAATAAACAACAAAACATATAAATAAACTTGTTCTCCAGGCCACTTTTTGAAAAATCAAAGATGAATGAATAATGGTGCTCAAGAAGTTAATGTGGCTTTTGCTGAGGGTATAAGCAAACAAGTGTATGAAACAAGTATAGGTATGTCTTTTCTTTTCTTTCTTTTTTTCTTTTTTTTTGATGGAGTCTCACTCTGCTGCTCAGGCTGGAGTGCAGTGGCACAATCTCAGCTGACTGCAACCTCTGCCTCCCGGGTTCAAGCCATTCTCCTGCCTCAGCCTCCCAAGTAGCTGGGATTACAGGTGCCCACCACAATGCCCAGCTAATTTTTATATTTGTAGTAGAAGCAGGGTTTCACCACGTTGATCAGGCTGGTCTTGAACTCCTGACCTCAAGCGATCCACCTGTCTCAGCCTCCCAAAGTGCTGGGATTACAGGCATGAGCCACCACGCCTGGCCTAAGTTTTTCTTAAGGTTGCTCTCTTTTCATTTTAGTCATGAACTGTAACTGACTTCATTCACTTCCTTAAGTTTGACACACACATGTGTGCAGTTGATTTCCAATTCTCTACTGTTATTCAGATTTGTCACTTAAATACAGTTTAGTACATTCAGTAGTGAAGGAGCAACAAGGAACAACAACTAAGAATTTTTATTATGTAACACCAACCATACTGTCTTCTCTCTTATACCACATTGTTCATAATATTACTAATATCTACTCAGTTATTGCCCTAAAAACTACATTTACTCTGAACCCTAGTCTCTACCAGGACGGTTCAGTCTACATTCTTAATGGGTTGAGGTAATCTATTCTTCTTCATTACCACAAATATTGATTTATTCGTTTGAGCAGATATGTACCGATGCAATGTCTTTGGTCTCCTTTATGCCAGATGTAATTTTTCCACATAGATTTTTTTTCAAGAACAAGGCCAATAGCTGGATCTACACATACAATCAAATAGTTTTGTTTTTTGTATGAGGACTTTTATGTTGTACATAACATAAACCAAATAAAACTGGATTAAGTGGTGAAAAGGATTTTGGAAAGGTTAATTACAACTTCAGTCATACTGAAGTGTGAAGCTCAAACCTTGTCATCAAGATCTGGTCTATGGGCCAGGAGCAGTGACTCACGCCTGTGATCCCAGCACTTTGGGAGGCTAAGGCGAGCAGATCACTTGAGGTCAGGAGTTCAAGACCAGCCTGGCCAATCTGGTGAAACCCTGTCTCTTCCAAAAATATGCATGCCTATAATCCCAGCTACGCGGAAGGCTGAGGCACAAGAATTGTTTGAACTCAGGAGGTGGAGGTTTCAGTGAGCCAAGATCATGCCACTGCACTTCAGCCTGGGCAACAGAGTAAGACTCCATCTGAAAACAAAAAACAAAAATGTGATCAATGTCCTTCTCCAAATTCTACTTATTCCTCTACATTGAGTTTATTCTCTGTACATGAAGGAAATGTAAATCTCCTGATACAGGCCCCAGCAGAAAGGAGAACTTCTCTTGTAAGTTTTAACATAAAACACTTTTAGGCTCGCATGGCACCTGTCTGTGTTGGATTAGATGCCCACCTTAAGAGCATTTAAATATTATGAGTCAAATGAAAATGGAAACACAACATACCAAAACTTATGGGCTGTGGCCTAAGCAAGCCTAAGAAGGAATTTTATGGCAATAAATGCCCACATGTATAAAAACCCAAGAGTTCATTTGTCAGATAGAACCAATGTGTCAAGATAAGAAAACTGCAATAGAAATAGAGTTTAATTCACACACAGCCAGTTGAATGGGAGACTGGAGTTTTGTTATTACTCAAATCAGCCTCCTTAAAATTTGGAGGCTAAGTTGTTTCAAGGATAGTTTGACAGGCTGAGGACCAGAGAATGGGCAGTGCTGATTGGCCAAGGGAATAATCATAGGGGTGTGGAAAATCCTCTTTGTGTTCCCTGACTCTACTTTGGGGTGAGGACATGAGGCCAGTTGGTGGGTCCAGGTAGAGCCATTCATCATCAGAAATGCAAAAACCTGAAATTACATCTCAAAAAGCTAATTGTAGGTTCTATAATAGTGATGTTATCTATAGGAGTAACTGAGGAGGCTGCAAATCTTGTGACCTCTGAAATAATGACTGGTCTGAATTATCTCCTTTTATTCTCCTAACTTGGTGGTCTTTCACTAGCCTTACAAAGGCGGTTTAGTTTGGGGAAAGGGCTAATATCATTTAAACTATAAATTAAATTTCTCCTCAAGTTAACTGCCTAAGAGCAGTTTGGAGGCTATAAAGGGAATATGGGTTTGTTAGATCACATCTCCTTCACTGTCATAATTTCCTCATTTATATAATTTTTGCAAAAGTGGTTTTACATGAAAAAAGAAAAAAAAAATCCCCAATAAGCAACCTAACACTACACTTCAGGGACCTAGATGAAGAAGAAACTAAGGCCGATGTTACCCAAAGGAGGGAAATAATAAAAATCAAGCAGACAAATGAAATTGACTAGAAAAACCAATGAAGAGATCAATAAAACTAAGATTTGTTTTTTGAAAAGATAAATAAAATCAACAAACCTTTAGCTAGACTAAAAATAAAAAGGAGAAGATTCAAATAAATAAAACCAGAAATGAAAGGGAAGACATTACAACTGATACACAAAAGATCATAGGAGACTACTATTGGTAGTCTAAACTATGTATGTACCTAATATATCGGTACAAAATTTTATATATCAATTTATATAAAATTTTATATCAATATATTAGATGACATAGAAGAAAGAGATAGATTCCTAGACATGTTAAACCTACCAAGGCTATATCCCAAAGAAACAGAAAATACGAGCTGACCAACAATGAGTAAGAAGAGTGGATCAGTAATAAAAAGTAATTCATTAGATAAAAGCCCAGGACATGATGGCTTCATGGCTGAATTCTACCAAACATTTAAAGAAAAATAAACCAAAATCCTTCTCAAACTCTTCTAAGAAATTGACAAAGAGGGAATATTTGTACTAATTTTATGAATACAGGATGACAAATCTGCACAAGAACACTAAAGAAAAAATAAATGTCAGTCAATATACCTGAAGAACATGGATGGAAAGTAAACAACAAAATACTAGTAACTGAGGTTGAACATCACATTAAAAGAATCATTCACTATGATAAAGTGAGATTTGTTTCAGGAGCACAGGATGGTTCAACATATGCAAACGTATATAAATGTTAAAATACTTTAACAGGATAATGGACAAAAACCATATGATCATCTCAATTCATGCAGAAAAAGTATTTGACAATGTTAAATATATTTTTATGATTAAAAAAACTCTTAGAAAAATGGCTATACAAGAGATTTAACACAATATGATGAAGGCTGTATGTGACAAACCCACAGCTAACATCATACTAACATAGCCTCATAACATAACATTACATAAAACATAACATCAAGATGCACTCAAAAGAAGGTAAGAGCGTTTCTCCCAAGCTCTGGAAAAACATAAGAATGCCCATACTTGCTACTTCTATTTGACCAAGTACTGGAAGTTCTTGCCAGAGCAAACACACATGTGACAGAAATAAAACACATCCAAATTAGAAAAGAAGTTAAATTGCCACGGTTTGCACTTAATGTGATTTCACAATAGAAATCTTTAAGACTACAAAAAAACCTCTTAGAACTAATAACTTCACAGAGTTGCAGGATGTAAAATAAAGAATTTGTATACACTAACAATTTTTTTCATAAGAAATCAAGAAAACTACCCCATATATAATAGGTATAAAATAAAATAGGAATAAATTTAACCAAGGAGTTGAAAGATCTGTACATTGAACACTATAAAATATTGATGAAGAAAATTTAAAAAGACACTGATAAAATGTAAAAAAATTGTGTTCATGGATTGAAATATATATATATATATTTGTATAGAACCATATTGTCAGCAAAGAGATATTGTTTGACTTCTTTCTTTTTTTCTATTTGGATGTCTTTTATTTCTTTTTTTTTTTTTTTTTTTGAGGACGGAGTTTCGCTTTTGTTACCCAGGATGGAGTGCAATGGCGCGATCTTGGCTCACCGCAACCTCCGCCTCCTGGGTTCAGGCAATTCTCCTGCCTCAGCCTCCTGAGTAGCTGGGATTACAGGCACGCACCACCATGCCCAGCTAATTTTTTGTATTTTTAGTAGAGACGGGGTTTCATCATGTTGACCAGGATGGTCTCGATCTCTTGACCTCGTGATCCACCCGCCTCGGCCTCCCAAAGTGCTGGGATTACAGGCTTGAGCCACCGCGCCCGGCTATTTCTTTTGCTTACATAATTTCTTGGACTAGGACTTACAGTGTTACGTTGAATAGAAGTGGTAGAGTGCATATCCTTGTCTTGATCCATTTCTCAAGGGGAATGTTTCCAGGTTTTTCCCATTCAGTATGATTTTAGCTATGAGTTTGTCATAGATGGCTCTTATTATTTTTAGTTACGTTCCTTTGATGCCTGGTCTGTTTAGGAATTTTATCATGAAGGGCTGTTGGATTTTATTGAAAGCATTTCTGCAACTACTGAAATAATAATATGGTTTTTGCTTTTAATTCTATTTATGTTGTGGATCACACTTACTGATTTGTGTATGTCAGACCAGCCTTGCATGCCAGGAGAAAGTATATTTAATTATGGTGTATTAACTTTTGTTGCACTGTTTGATTGAGTTTGCTAGTATTTTGTGAAGGACTATTTCATTTACGTTCATCAGAATATTGGCTTGAGATTTTTCTCTTTCACTGTGCCTTTGCCGGGTTTTGATATTGGATTGATGCTGGCTCCATAGAATTAGTAAGAAAGGAGACCCTACTCTTCTATTTTTTGAAATACTTTCAGTAATATTGGTAATATATATTTTTAAATATGTGATAGAATTCAGTTGTGAATCCATTTGGTCCATGGCTTTTTTGGTTCATAGGTTTGTTATTATTGATTCAACTTTGGAAATTGATATTGGTTTGTTCGGGGTTCAATTTCCTCCTGATTCAGTCTTGGAAAATTTTGTGTTTCTGGGGATTTATCCATTTTCCTTAAATTTTCTAACTTGTTTTCATTGGATTGTCAGTTATAGTCTATGAGTATCTTTTTTGCGGGCTAAGATGTAATGTCATCTTTGTCATTTCTGATTGCACTTACATGAATATTGTTTTTTCTTTCTTTATTAATCTAGCTAGAAGTCTATAGATCTTGTTTATTCTTTTGAAGAACCAATTGTTAACCTCATTAATCTTTTTATGGGTTTTTGTGTCTCAATTTCATTCAGTTCTTCTCCAATTTTAGTTATTTATTTTCTGCTGCTAGCTTAGAGGAATAGTTTTTTCTTTTCTTTCTCATTCTTCTGGGTGGAAAGTTAGATTATTAATTTTAAATCTTCCTAACTTTTTAATGAAGGTGCTTCATGCTTCCTCTTCATTGTTTTAGCTCTTTGGTAGAGATTTTTATAAGTTTTGTTCTTATTTTTATTGTTTTCAAATATTATATTTGATTCCTGCCTTAGTTTTAATGTTCACTCAAGAGTTATTAAGGAGCAAGTTGTTTAACTTCTATGTATTTGTGTAGTTTTGAGAGGTCTTCTTGATATTGATTTCTATTTTTTATTGCACTGTGGTTCTTGAGTATACTTGGTTATGATTTCAGTTTGTTTTTTTTTTTTTAATATATTGAGACTTCCTTTATGACCAAATATGTGGTTGATCGTAGAATATGTTCTGGTCCAGGAAAAGTGTATTTCCTGTGGTTGTTTGGTGAAGTAGTCTACAGATGTCAATTAGATCCAATTGGTCAGTCATCATGTTTAAGTCCAGAGTTTCCTTGTTAGTTTTCTGTCTTTATGATCTGTCTAATGCTTTCAGTTAAATGTTATGTCTCTCAGTATTATTATGAGGTCATCTAAGTTGTTTCTTAGGTCAGGAAGAGCTTGTTGTGTGAATCTGCGTGCTCTCACCTATGGTTCATATATATTTAAGATGGTTAAGTCTTCTTGTTGAATTATACCCTTTATCATGTTTTCTCTTTTTTGTTCTTGTCATTGGCTTAAAGTATGTTTTATCAATATAAAAATAGCTACTCCTGCTTTTTTTTTGTTTTATATTTCCATTAAGTATTTTTCCAACTCCTTACTTTGAGCCTGTGGGTATCATTACATGTGAGATGGGTCTCTTGAAGAAAGCAGACAGTTGAGTCTTGTCTTTTTATTCCTCTTGCCACTTTATGTCTTTTAAGTAGGACATTGAGCTCATTTACATTCTGGGTTAGTATTGATATGTGACATTATGCTGTTAGTTGGCTACTAGGTAGACTTGAGTGTGTAGTTGTTTTATGTTGTCTGTATGGTATGTGCTTTAGTGTGTTTCTGTGGTATCAGTTGTTGTTCTTTCTATTCCATGTCCAGCACTCCCTTTAGAACTTCTTATAAGCCTGCTCTAAGGCTGCTGTAATGATGAATTGTAATATGGTTGTAGTCTAGTTGTAATATCCTTAAATGTACATGCTACCCAAAGTAATCTACAGATTCCATGCAATTCTTATTAAAATTCTGACATTTCTTACAAAAATAGATGAAACAACCCTCAAGTTTGTGTGGTGCCAGAAAAGTCCTTAAATCACCAGCAAAATCCTGAACAAAAAGAACAATGCTGGAAGCAACATACTACCTGACTTCAAATTATATTACAAAGCTACAGTTATCAAAACAGTATAGTGCTAGCATTAGAAACAGACACATAGACCGATGGAACAGTACAGTAAGCTAGAAAAAAAATCACGCCTTTAGGGTCAATTAGTTTTTGACAGTGGTATCAACACTCATTGAGGAAAGGACAGTCTCTTTAATACATTGTGTTGTAACAACTGGATAGCCATATGCAGGAGACTAAAATTATATTCTATCTCACACTTTGAAATGATACAAAAATTATCTCAAAGTGGCTTAAATACTTAAATATAAGCCTTGAAACAGTAAAACTACTAGAAGAAGACACAAGGGGAAAGCTGCAAGCATCATTCAGGCCAATGATTGTTTTAGCTATAAACCCAAAAATCCAGGCAACAAAACTGAAAATAGACAAAAGGGATTACATCATACTGAAATTTTCTGCACTAAAAGGAAATAATCATCAAAATAAAAAGGTAGCCTTTGGGTCAGAGGAAAATATTTGCAAACCATATATTTGATGAGAGTTAATATTCATTATATATAAAGAATTTATACAACTCAAAAGCAGAAAAACAAATATCCCAAGCAAAAAATATGCAAAAAGACTGAAAAGAAATTTCTCAAAGAAGACATACAAATGGCCAACAGGTATATAAAAAAATGCAGAATATCCCTAATCATAAAAGAAATGTTAAAACCACAATGAGATATGACCTCACATTGTTTAGAATGACTATTATAAAAAAGACAAAAGAACACATGTTGGAGAGGATGTGAAAAAAAGTGATCCCTTGCACACAGCTGGCAGGAATGAAAATTATTATAGCCCCTGTGAAAAATAGTATACAGGCTCCTCAAAAAATTAAAAATAGAACTACCATATGATTCAGCAGTTCTATGACTGAATATATATCCAAAAGATATGAAATAAACATTTCCAAGAGGTATCTACACATCTATGTTAATTGTAGCATTATTTACAATAGCCAAGAAATGGAATCAGCCTGTATCCATCAACAGTTAAATGTGAATATATATATATATATACACACACACACACACAGTATATATGTGCTATATGTGTATATATATATATATATATATGTATACACACACACATACACACATATGTATACTCAATGCAATACTATTCTGCCTTAAAAAAGAGAGTAATTCTGTTGTCACAAAACATAGATAAATCTGGAGGACTTTTAGTAAAACAAATCAGGAACAGAAAAACAAATACTGTATAATATCACTTAGTACGTAGATGTGAAAAATTAGCGAGTGTAAGAGGAGTTTCCAGGAGCTGGGGAGCAGGGAGAGTTGAGGCAGATATTGGTAAAAGGATACCAACTTCAGAATAAAAACAAGACTGTCTTCAATAAATCTATTGCACAATGTGGCAATTATAGTTAACAAGTTATTGTATTCTTGAAAATTGGGAAGAGAGTAGATTTTAAATGTTCTATTTTACAAGAAAATGATAAGCATGTGAGGTAATTCATGTGATAATTAGCTCCATTTAGCCATTCCACAATATATATATATATATATAAACTGCATGCTTTACATAATGAATACTTACAACATTTATTTATCAATTTAAATAAAGACAACAAAAGAAAAAAATGACAAAAATAGGGGGGTTATAAATAATTCTTAGGGCCAACTTTGGACTTACAAATTTGACCACTTAGATGAAATGGACAAATTCCTATAGAGATATACATTACCAAGAACATATTCAAAAAATGTAAAAAATCTAAATAAATCCAATGCATGTAAGAAAAAAATTATACCTTTTCAAAATGAACAGCAGACTACAATGGTTTTGCTAGTGAATTCGATTTTTTTCAGAAAATAAAAAAAGAGGAAAGAGTTCTCAATTCATTCCTTGAAGGGAAAAAATAAGAAGCATCTTGTATTTTGATGTGCATTTGTTTGCCTGTGGCTAAGCTGAGCAATGAAAAGCTGCATTGATAAGTGCATGACACTAGAATACAGAGAATATGAACCTATCAAACATCACTAGAGCTAATTGATCATCTCTACTATGCCAAATTTTTGTACTGCTCTGGATAAATTAATAAAAATTGGATTAACTCTTGTTACTTCCACATTCAATTATTCCTGTAACTTCAGCAATTGATTCAAAAAAGCAGTCCTGCAGGGAATGTTGTTAATATTAGAAAGAGCACAGTAACACAGAAAAGGAAATAGCCTTCACTTTTCCTTAATCTCAATGCTCAGGCTTCTTTCCACTTCTTACCTGTAACAGCTCCATCACTGACCCCTGCAGGCGATGCTCCAGATCTGAGATGAGCACTCTCACGGACTGGGTCTGCAGCACCATGTCATTTTCAGACTGTACAAATCTTTTCAGAATGTTTTTCTCCTCCTTCTCCAGGTTTTGCAGCTCATTGTTCTCCTCACAGTCCAGGATGTCTCTCAGTTGCTTAAACACTGCCATGATGTTGGTTTTGTCATTTTGTATTTGAATCTTCAGAGATGTGAAGGGAGAAAGGGGCACTTAGTTTACCAGGCAGAGGCTGATAGTCAGAAAAATAGCTGTTTCTTTTGGGGAGTTCTCACAAGGAGGGGACATAGAAGCAGGAGAGTAGGTCTTAGAAAAGTTAATTTTTCCTATTTTTTTTTCCTTCATGACATTTTAAAACAATGATCTTGAATGGGTATATTGAGGTTCATCCTGAGTCAAAATGGGTTACCTGGGTGTAGCTTAGCTTTCACACAGCCATCCAGGACACTCGTGCCTGCCTGTATTACCTCTCAGCTCAAACTCAAACTCCCTGCCAAAAGTTGAACACTGAGGACAGAACCATGAGCCACTGCCAAATGTCTTCCCCAAGTAGAGTCACAGACTCAAAAAGTAACACAAAAATGGAATACAGGATTCACTGGCCATCTTCACCAGAGAGAACCTTCATGTAAATAGCTCCCTACAGATACCTGTGTTCATTGTGACAAATTCAATCCCTAGCCACCACACTCCATCAGGGAAAGGATAAAGAGGATGAATCAGATGACTTCTGGACTTAACAAGCATCAGGGAATAAAGAGGAAGAAAGCTCCTTCCCATGGTTCTGCCCAGTTTTCTGGCTAACTCCCTCAGGAACCATGTCATGTTACCTTCCAGGAAGCTTGCTCTTTTCTGACATCAGCTTCCAACTTTTCAGCATCCTGCTGCTTCTGCCTCATCATCTCCAGAGCTACCTGGAGCTTTTCCTGTGAGAAAGGAATCACACCATAGTCAAGCTATGCGCTTTCCCAGCACCTGGATAGAGTATAAACATGAAAGAAATCAGGTTGATCTCAGAAGAAACAAATTTACAGAAATGGTGAGAAAGGCAATGAGAATCCATGACTTGGAAGAAAACTTACATTGGTGAATGTCCTCCCTATGTCTCAGGTAATAGACCTCCCCATCTTGTCACCATGAGTAAACTGATTTTTTGTCCTAGAAGAAAAAACTGATCCTGCAGCAAGGGAAGAACTTATATCTCATCCCACTCTAGCTACTCTCCTGCTGAAAGGGGTAATAAGAGCTTTTCTTGGACACCAACTCTCTACCCATCTAACCCAAGGTACAAAATATTTATTTCTGGCCAGGAATATATACTCTTGGATTATTCTCTTGTAATTGGGTGGAATGCAGAAAAACTGTCCTTCAAGCCTCAGAAGTTAAGCATAGGATGAAAAAAAAATAATCCCAGGCCTCAGGCCTATGATGACAAGGCAATTAAAGTCAAATGCAAAGTGAAAATTTTCCACCAGATCCATTTTCTGCCCTCTCCTCCCTCCATCCCAGTCTCTTACTCGGTATTTCTGTGCAACCTCCTCCGCGAGGAATGTGTGGTGACCACAGTGTTCTTGAGACCGCTCGCAAAGCCAGCAAATGACATTTCCATCCTGTTCACAGAAGAGTAGAAGTTTCTCTCCATGGCGTGCACAGTGATCAACCTTCTGCCCATCCTCTGTGCTCAGCACGACCTCCCTGAGCCTCTCCACTATGCTGGCCAAATGCCGATTAGGCCGCAGGCTCTCAGACTGGTAACTGATCCGGCACGAAGGGCAGCTTCTCTCTCCTTGGTGTGGCATAGACTTTTTGTGGTTTGCAGTGATGCATGCTTGGCAGAAGCTATGGCCACAGTCTAGGCTCAGAGGTTCTGTCAGGAGTTCTAGGCAGATGGGGCAGGTCACCTCCTCCTTTATATTCACCAGGATTCTAAAAGCCATAGTCGCTGCTCCACTGCTCTTGCCTGTCCTGGCCGCTGAGGTTCCTCTTGCTCACAGATCCCTGCATGATTGGGAAGGTTAAAATGTGACTAAGTGAGAAACAGACTAAATAGAAAGGATATTGATTGTGTACAATTAGAAAATGGGCAAAATGAAAATATATAAAGACAAAAAAAAGGAGAGAAATAAGAAATGGTGTTTGGTTACCTGGTAATAAGGGCTTTTAATAATTGCCTTAAATACTTTACTCTCAGTTCACGTCATATGACAAATTCTGCTCTTTTCTGTGCATTGGTTATCATTTTTCTTTACTTTCAATGAATAGAAAACAAACTGAGGTCTTTTCTACCAAGGTCTTTGTGTGACCCATAATCTCTCCTGGCTTTTCTTTTCTATGCCAAAACACATCCTCAATATTAAACTCACCAACCCACCTATGCCTCAGGGCGTTCACATTTGCTCTTCTCTCAGCATAAAATGTTTCCCTGATGTTAGTATGATTTTATTAAATTATCTTCTTACATGTCATATGATCAAAAATACCTGCTCTGACCACCTTATGTGCAGTATAACAAATCTCACCAGTCATTGTGCATTTGCAATGATTGCCCTTATTATCAGCACAGAGTGAATGATGGCGTTTCATCAAATGTATAAATAGGCATAAGAAGTGATTTACAAAAATTATTTATCTTCAATATGGTGACCTGAGGTGACCCTGTATTCAGGGTCCTCTTTCCGTGGCCTTTTGCTACACTATTGGTTAATCAATGACAAACGAAAATAACGGCCTCATTTTCCACCACAAAACCAGATATGTTTCTTTTAGGTTTCTGAGAACTGTTCCCATGAGCTTTCACAAGATAATGAGTCCTTTGGGGCACTAGGCTTATCTAACCTACAGCATTTCACACACATCCAGCCAGTCTCATTTCTTAAAAAGCTCAGATGATGGAGATAATGCCTCTTGTACTACCCTAGGGACTCTCACTGAGAACTCGCCTGGGAAAGCTGTGCCACATGGTTCTCCTGTCCTGCATCCCCTGGCTAAACTACATGCGCTTGGCTAGTTTAGGGCTGTTATCTCCCATAAGTGAAATGGCAAACCGGATTGGAAACTGCTGCTGGTGTTCAGTCAGGGAAGTATCACAGAATGGTGGCTCAGAGTTGTTGACTGACAGACCTGGTTTCAGTAAGGACCCTGTGGCCTCAGTCTATGTTCCACCGCTGTAAGGAATTCCAGGTAAATGGAGCTGTAAGGCTAAAAACAAGGAAAGAGAAGGCCCTAATAGATACTGATGTGTTGCTGGCTGTCAAAGTTTCATGGTAAAAGAAAGATCTCCGTTATGAGACAGCTGATGAGTCTCTCCCTTGCTCTGAAAAAGGAAGGGAAATGTTATAAAGGCTGTATGGAGATAAATTCAGACCTATAAAAACTGTCCACTTCTCCCATAATCTACGAAGGCCATAAAGAACAAGGCTGAATGAAGGTGGGGTGGAGGCACAATCCATCCGATGATACGGATACTGAAAGTGGGCCAAGGGTTTATAGTGTTATGCTGCAGTGGCTTTGGCCAGTATCAGGCTCTGATAAATGGCAACATCAGAGGTTTGCATTGTACAATAATGTCTAGCCTTGTTTATGACTCAAGTTGTAATCCAAACCTGAGAGTGAGGACTCCATTTACCTTTTATTCCATTAAAAATTGCACCAGCGCTGAGATGCATAAAAGCCTATGGGAGGGGGGAATGGAGATAGCCATCTGTCATGAGGCTGTAAAATGTATGTTTAATGTGAGATTACAAGGAGCCAGTGTGAAAATAACTGATGCCATAACAGACATAGAAAGAGGTATGTGCAGAGGAGCCAGAGGTTCCACACGTGGGACTAACCCCACCACTACCTAAGCAGCGACCCAAAGCCTGCACAGCAGTCAGGGAGGTTGAGATGGAAACACAATTATTATCTGCCTGGTATCTCTCAGGTCAGCTACCTGCCATAGATGTCAGGTGATTGTACCTTACACATGAGCCTTCTCCTGACATCTGGGATTATGAGAATGCAAACACAACATGTCCTAGAGGTGACAGCTAAAGACCAGCAACAAAAACATTACAAGACAATAACCAGTTTTTGTAAAATCCAAGCAATATGCATATAGACAGAATTTTCTTCTGTAACTGGGGCAAAACTGTTCCCCTAAGCATAATATAGCTGCAAATTACTGATGTTATATGGAAAGGCATCACTTTTCATACATAGGTGGGAAAAATAAAATTGTCCTGAGATTCATTTGTTAAGCAATATCATCTAGTAGTGTTATAGGAAATATTAAGAAGTTATTTTAGGCAGATAGAGAGGAAAAGGGGTCCTTGGGAAGTTTTTGTTTTAAGGCAGCTCCAGAAACATTTCTTGTCTACCAGGAAAGCCCCAGCTCTTAGAGCCAGGCCAGCAAGCTTTAATACACAAATGCTGGACATTAGAAACTGGGTCCATCCAAACATGGTGATTCCTGTTGTCTTCTCCCTTGCCCATACATGTGCCTGGCAACATGGCTGCGCCCATGTATCCCCATGTGTGTAAAACATCGTGGCGCTCTACATTTGCATATTGAAAGGTTAGGGTGGAAGGGCCAGTTTTTCATGGGCCATGTGAATAACATACCTGGTCACTCCCTAAGCCCTGTGCAAATCAGACACCACCTCCTTTAGCCTCCTCATGTAAGCAGCCATTTTGCACATGAGGTTTTTGCTTTGTTCAAATCCTCCTCCCTCTGTCTCTGTATGGTGGAGCTGTTTTCGTCTTCCTTTCTTCTTTCTTGCCTATTAAACTGTTCATTCCTTAAAACCACTCCACATGTATCCATGTCATTAACCCTATCAGTCAAGACCAAGATCCCTAGTGTTCCTCCAGTCATGAGAGCTTTATCATTTTGGTGCATGGGCCAGGAATCCAAGGTACAGCCTTCATTGGAGTGGTAAGTATGGGAGTAAGCTTAAAATCTGTTCTATTAGTCTAAGGCACTCTTGGCCTCTATATTAAAATGAAACCAAATAAATCAATGCGCATCTGTCAGCCTGGTACGTATGCTTAACTTTGGCTGCCATACTAAAAACTCAGATGTGAGGCTTGCTGAGGGGAACATGGAGAACCCCCCAATACCCATGGGTACTGGAAATGTTGGCCATTTTGAACTAGCTTCTTTTCATGGGGGGACCTCGCCATCAAGCGAGGCTGGGAAAAGTTCTGAGGTAACTGAGAATTTCTGGCCAGGGCACACCCTGGCATGATTCAAAGGTCCCTGGAGCACACGCAGCCTCCAACAGTGCACTCTGAGTGTTGGCAGAGAATCCTCAACTATTCTGTTGCAAAATTCTTCTTCCTTCTCTGTTTGCAACCTCTTACTCTTTCTGTGTGTGAAATGTGCAGGGATTTTTACAGCCTAGGAAAGTAATCCTGCTAGGTAAGATCAGGAAAATGCCTCTAGGAACAGAGTTTTCCCCTTTCTCCTATGGTAAGGTTACTTACCACCACATCGCTGGCAAGCACATAGTATTTCTAAGCCAACAGCGTCACTTAGTGGAAATAAAAATCATCTACATGAGGCACACCTTTTTCCTCTTTTTCCACCATAACACAGCAGCTTCCTTTTACACTGTTAGAAATCAGGCAGTAGGCCTCTTCTGGGAACGGGAAGTTTCTGCACTTAACAGTTAGGAGTAAAGTATCTTCTGCAGCCAGATTTTAGTCCCGATATTGTCCTGTCAGTAGGAAAATGGCTATTCGTTCCTATGTTCTTTTAAGGCACATAGTCTGTCTCAGATTAAGACAGTACTCAATTAGTAAGGGAATTTTAAGTCTGAAAGTTAACCAGAACATTTTTTTTAAGGGTAAGTGCTTTAATATGGGCTGTAATATTACGCAATCTAGCACATTGCCTCTGTTAAAGGATCCTTGCCCAAAGGCGACAGTCTCTCCAGACATCTGTTTTTTAGGGAGCCAGGCAAATTACACAGGTTCTAGCAAGTCAAAGGGAAATCACACAAGGTGGATAAACTAAGGCTGCGTGGATAAGCATGGTTAGCCCCATCACTTAGTTCATCTGGTTCCATGGCTTGAAGCACCACACCTATAACCATGGAGGGCACATTTAACATAGTGCTGGGATCCAGAAATCTGGGAGGCGAAGCAATCGAATGATGCTCCCTGTCCTCTCCTCCACTCTGGGTCATATGGAAAGGAAGAAGACTAAGAGGATGCTTTTATTCTTGTTTCTTTTTCTAAATGGGTAATAAGTTAACTTCCGCTTGCACCCTTCTGGAGTGTACTCTGAAACACTGGAACTTCCTTAACCTCAGAACTTTAAAGAAAGCAACTCATTTTCTTTTCACAGGGGTGTGGTGTTTTTACCAAACCTTTTCAAGCATTGTAAAATCAATGTAGCTTTTTTGGAAATCATATTGAGCAGGTCCAGGGAAAATAGTTCCCCCAAATTAAAAAAATCATTTTCAGGGAAACCATCTGAAAATCCGTCTGACCTGGGGCCTCTTCAAGTTCCTTTCTCGTTGCAGGACATTAGGCAAGTAAAGCAAGATATAGGCCAATTTTCTGATGACCCTGATAGGTATTTAGAAGCTTTCCAAAATTTAACTCAGGTATTTGACCTCTCATGGAGGAATGTTATGCTGCTCCTAAACCAAACCCTAACTACAGCTAAAACAGGCAGCTCTACAAAAAGAAAAGAATTTTGGAGATAAGCAACAAGTCTCATAGTAGGCCAGAAGGGAAAGGAGGAAATAGGGAAGGGAAATCAAGAGGAGAAACACCACTGACAAGAGGAAGAAATACAGTATCTCTTGACAACCCTAATTGGAACTCCTTTGTATGGTGTATTTCCTTCTTTCACAGTTTAAAATGGCTTTTTAAATAATGTTATTCCAAACTTGGAAAAGTTAGTTTTCCAATTTAAAATGCTTGGCTTAGAGTTGAGCTAAGGGGAAGGAACCCAGAGCCTGATATGCTGGCAAAAGGGTAAAAATTTCTTACCAGTCAGGTCTTTGTCTTCTCTCTCCCTGTGCAAACTAGTAAAAGGGATAATAAGAATTGTTGTTTATATTCTCTGTAAAGTTATAATTAATGAAAAAGAATTTGTAAGGTTGGTCCTAAGCTGCAGGCCACCTGATGTGCTTTGCATGTTTTTCTGTATGGTTCTGTCAAAGAAATGGTATCTTACAATAGGATCAGGCCCAAGACCTCATAAGCCTGTTGTTCGAGCCAGTCCAACAAAATGGTCAGTAACAAACTTGGCTACAGGCCCCCATCTTTTTTCATGTCCTCAGGACCATGACTTGTAACCACGTGGCAATACTTTGTTTTAGTCTCCACCAGTTTGCAATGATGGCTGTCTTCTTGTGCTAAGTCAGTTCCTGGGTGAGGGCCGCACAATCAGATAAGCCAGTTTTTCAGTCTTCAGCTTACACCCTTCTGGAATGGTGCCAGCTGATCCATCAAAGGCAGGGTTTACAAAATATCTTAAGCAATGATCTTGAGAGCAGATTAGGGAGGATCAAAGTCTTGTAGCCTCCAGCTGCATGACTCCTAAACCATGGTTTCTAATCTTACGGTTAGTTTCTTAGTCTGGCCCCAGGCAAGAAGGAGGTATATCATAAGGGGCTGTTATCATATTTGTTTTAGAGTATAAACTGTAAACCAGGCTTCTCCCAAAGTTGGTTCAGCCTATGCTCAAGGGATGGGCAAGGACAGCTTGGGGGCTGGAAAGAAAATGGAGTTGTTTGGATTGGATCTCTTCCACTGCCTCAGTCACAATTTTGTAATGACAGTTTCAAAAGCTGTCCATCACCCCTTTGAAAATACCTTGTACATCTGTGGTTCATTCACAACCTAAATAAGTTTTGTTGCTTTCACCTGTGAGGTTATTTTCTATAAAGTTCAAAAGCTGAAAATCTTAACTGCTTGGCATGGCTGAAGTCAAGTAACAAGAGATTTAAAAGGATTTTCTTAAAGAGCTCTCAGCCTAATTATAAGTGGATATTCAAGTTATGGGTATATTTAAAATGCCTTTCTCTCTTCTTGGATCTTGTTTTTCTGGAAAAAGTTTCTTTTTCTTCTCAGTTGACTGAATTATTTTTCTCCTTTTTTTTTTTTTTTTTTCTTTTGGCCTTACCACTCTTAATGCATGCATGAGAGGCCCTAAAATAACTTCTGGTAGCATGGGACTCCTTGGGAAAAAACAGAGGTGGCACCACAGACCCCCTTTTGGGAAAAAAAAAAAAAAAAATCTCTGTTTTCCTCATGAAACCCCCAAATTTAAAAGCAGATAGTTCCCTCTCAAAATCAAAGGCTGTGTTCTGTTATGCATTGTGGTATCTACCATTTTAAGTTTTGGGGGTATCAAATTACTTCACATTATGAGAGAGCTTTGGTGTGTAACAACTAGGTAGGAAACATACTGTAAGGGATGCCTAACAGTAGTTATAAATCAGAGAAGCATACTCTTGGCCGCCTAAAAAATGGAAACATCCCTGCCCCTCACTAAGAAATAAGACTCCCATAGTGGGGTGGGCTAATTACAAAATAAGCCAATTGGCTTTGTGTTGCCTTGTAATGAAACACACGGTAAAAGTAGAACACTGTCTTCTCCCATAGTATCTGCCTCCTTTCGGGGACCCAAAATCCAGTATAAAGTAGCACTCTTAATTTTAGAAACCTGACTTTGCCTTCAGCTGTGCCTGCTTATTAGGCCCTAAATATGCATGCTACCTGGTCCTGTTCCTCAAAGGGCTCCATCCTAAAGCCAGTAATCCAATTAAAAAACTGGCAAATAAAAAAATCTTACAAGTGCTGAATCTTCTGTCTGTGTTCCTATATATGTGTTGTGTACAATGTCTATAAAAAGAGATTTAATTAATTGGCTTAAGGAAAATTAAGCACATACATCAAATATTGGTTAGTTCATGTAACTTTAAGAAATAAAAACTGTCTTAAGGATTATTGGTAAAATGCAAATTCAAATAGGTGGTCTAAATCATACAACTTAGATACTAGGTTTGCTGAATGTTCCAAGGTTATATACTGCTTGCTTTATAAATAGATAAGTCCTAGGACACATGGAGCTAGATGCTGAAAAGTCAGACTTTATCTGCACTTCTGTCTGGGTCCTAGGAACCACACCTGGTACCTAATTAAAATCGCTTACTAACCAGGTTTCTTAACGAAAAATAAAAGTTGCTAAAAGTTAACAGTGCAACATGTATTTGAGATCACTAAACAGTTTTACATGCAAGGCATATAAAAACAGTAAAATATGTATTTTAGTGAAAGATTATAAGAAAGCATAGAAATGTAAATTTTGCCCTGGGTTGAGGGATGTTAAATTTGATAAGATAGAGTTAGAAATTTAAGCAAGTTATAGAAAGATTGTAAAAAATAATCTTTCAAAAAAATGTGTAAACATTAACTAAACTCAAAATGGTATTATATACCCTTTTCATAAATTGAGGACTGAAATAAAAGCACAGCAGGGAGTTCTGAAGAGACTAATCTGCCTGTTAGTAAAAGGGTTATAAAAGGTTTGTAAAGATTTCACCTCATGCTCAAATTGGTTAAGATTAGATGAAATGATCTATAGGATTTCATTTAAACAAATTGGAGCTAACTTTAATAAATCAATGCAAGGGTAAAATTTGGCTTTAAACAGGATTATCATGTCATAGTGTAGGTTAATGAAAGGCTTTTGCCTTTTGAGTCATTTGGCAAAAAAATTAATTTATGTCAATTTTATAACATCAAGTGTTTTAAACCTCTAATTTAACAGATGTGCCAAAATCAAACTTCAAACTTCAAAATTGTCTTTTCTAATGCCTGGCTTTTTGGATGGTTCAGAGAGCCCCTGAAACATTCATAAAAGAAGTAAACTGGACCCCTTCCTGACACCTTACACTAAAATTAACTCCAGATGGATTAAAGACTTAAACATAAGGCCTAACACCATAAAAACCCGAGAAGAAAATCTAGGCAAAACCATTCAGGACATAGGTGTAGGCAAGGACTTCATGACCAAAACACCAAAAGCATTGGCAACAAAAGCCAAAAATAGGCAAATGGGATCTAATCAAACTCCACAGCTTCTGCACGGCAAAAGAAACAGTCATTAGAGTGACTTGGCAACCAACAGAATGGGAAAAAGCTTTTGCAGTTTACCCATCTGACAAAGGGCTAATATCCAGAATCTACAAAGAACTAAAACAGATTTATAAGAAAGAAACAAACAAGCACATTCAAAAGTGGGCAAAGGATATGAACAGACACTTTACAAAAGAAGATATTCATGAGGCCAACAAACATATGAAAAAATGCTCATCATCACGGGTCATCAGAGAAATGCAAATCAAAACTACATTGAGATACCATCTCACGCCAGTTAGAATGGCGATCATTAAAAAATCTGGAGACAACAGATGTTGGAGAGGATGTGGAGAAATAGGAACACTTTTACACTGTTGGTGGGGGTGTAAATTAGTTCAACCATTGTGGAAGACAGTGTGGCGATTCCTCAAGGACCTAGAAATAGAAATTCCATTTGACCCAGCAATCCCATTACTGGGTATACATCCAAAGGAGTATAAATCGTTCTACTATAAGGACACGTGCACATGAATGTTCATTGCAGCACTGTTTACAATAGCAAAGACCTGGAAGAAACCCAAATGCCCATCGATGATAGACTGGACAGGGAAAATGTGGCACATATACACCATGGAATATTATGCAGCCGTAAAAAACGATGAGTTCGTGTCCTTTGCAGGGACATGGATGAACCTGGAAACCATCATTCTCAGCAAACTGACACAAGAGCATAAAATCAAACACCGCATGTTCTCACTCACAGGCGGGTGTTGAACAATGAGAACACATGGACACAGGGAGGGGAGCACTACACACTGGGGTCAGTTGGGGGGAAATGGGGAGGGACAGCGGAGGGTGGGGAGTTGGGGAGAGATTGCACGGGGAGAAGTGCCAGATGTGGGTGATGGGGAGGAAGGCAGCAGATCACACTGCCACGTGTGTGCCTATGCAACAATCTTGCATGTTCTTCACATGTACCCCAAAACCTAAAATGCAATAAAATAAGTTAAAAAAAAAAAAAAAAAGAAGTAAACAGGATTACTTAATAAGAGAGTCAGCCCGGAAGAGTAACCAGCCTTCCAGGAAACAAAGCCTTTTACTTTACAGCTCTCCCTTCTTTCAGAGCTGCCCACTTGCCAGGCAGCTCTGTTCCCATTAGTCAACCCTGGCAGCAGAAAGTCTGTGTCTTTTCCCCACCCCAGAACAGCTTTTAGGTAAGTTAAACTCATCAAAGCAAATTCAGTTTTGTCCAAAAGACTTCCTACTTTTGCCTTCCACAAACCACTCAATACACCTTCAGACACCAGTACAGGAAGTGGTGATTCTGGGGAGAAGACTGAAGGCAGGCCAGGGAAGATATGGTTAGGATTCACTCACCAATCCAGGGGCCTGATCTGCCCAAAGGAATCTTTCTAAGAGGAGCTGCAGGAAATTCTTGCTCACATCCTGGGCTGGAAAGTGAAAGATAAAATATTGGGCCAATGGCATTTAGCCACGTAGAGCCCGGTGAGTCCCACCCTCTGAATGAGTCAGCCTGCTTTGTAGCTGTGCCATTCACAGGAGGAGCCATGGAAAATAGAGGCATTCCCACTCTATCTCCCTTTTCTCTTGAGTCTCAGGATCTTGTTATCATGCCACTTCTTTTCGACATGGTTTCAGATTAACCCAACCAAGTATTAAAAATTAGAAAAGGTGCCCTTTACTGAAATTCTTCCAATGTGCTCCTCTTATTCCTGATCTCATATCTGGGTTCTGCTTCTGGGTGATAGATATGCCCCAAAGAGAAGGAAGAGCAAGGTTAATGATTTTTAGAGAACTGCAGTAGGTTTCTGGTCTGGACGTAAAAACCTTATAGGACCTATGAACAGAAAAGGAGCTGCAGATAAGACAGATGTCATATTATTAAGGCTTCCAAACCCAGAGAGAGGACAGGATGCTAGAAATTTATCTGGAGAGCCATGAAGAAATACTGCATTATTACACTGACTGCAGTTCAACTATCAACTTTTCAAAGAACTCTCCAACTTCCCCGTTTTGTTTGTTTGTTTTGAGACGGAGTCTCACTCTGTCACCCAGGCTGGAGTGCAATGGCACAATCTCGGCTTACTGCAACCTCTGCCTCTTGGGTTCAAGCCATTCTCCTGCCTCAGCCTCCTGAGTAGCTGGGATTACAAGCGCCCGCCACCACACCTGGCTAATTTTTGTATTTTTAGTAGAGATGGGGTTTCACCATGTTGGTCAGGCTGGTCTCAAACTCTTGACCTCCTAATCTGCCCGCCAACCTCCCAAAGTGCTGGGATTACAGATGTGAGCCACCGCACCTGCCCCCCACCCCCTATTGCTTTTTTTGAAGAATCTATTGGATCCCTGAGCAGGGCCAGGGCTTCCTCTCTCTTCTCTTCTGGTTACTATGCAGAACTGGTCCAGAAGGCTGAACTGTGGTCCATGTACCACTCCATAGCATCTCTTCTAAGCCTTCCCTCACTGGGACATCTCAGGAAGTCCACACTGGAATTAGGATCATTGGTAGACAGGAGAATTTAGTTTGAAAAAGAAAATTCATAAGAAGAAGGCAATGGGGAGCACTGCAGCGGGCAGCCTGTCATCACTTAATCCCATCGCCGGTAACCCCATCCCCCCTTCACACTCTACCCCTCAGCTCTAAGTTTCATGAAGTCAGGTATGGGACTTTTACACTTTGTTCTTTATTGTCTCAGATTTATCAGAATATAGTGTAAATAAGGAGTAATATTTAAAGAGAGATAAGAAGGCATATAGTTATTAATATAATTTTAATTGAATTGAATATCTTGATGATGTTACATTTCTGTTCTATTCTTGCTGTAACGATAACTGCTGTGTCACATAGTTTAATTCAAATATTCTTCTGGCATTAGTAATAATTATGTGGCCAGGTGCAGAGGATCATGTCTGTAATCCTAGAATTTTGGGAGGCTGAGGCAAGTGAATCACTTGAGGTCAGGAGTTTGAAACCAGCCTCACCAACATGTTGAAATCCCATCTCTACTAAAAATACAAAAATTAGCCAGGTGTAATGGCGGACGCCTGTAATCCCAGCTACTCAGGAGGCTGAGGAAGGAGAATTGCATGAACCTGGGAGGCGGAGGTTGAAGTGAGCTGAGATTGTGCCACTGCACTCCAGCCTGAGCGATAGAATGAGACTCTGTTTCATACACACACACACACACACACAAAGTAATAATTATGTAATTTTTTTTTTACAAATTTTAAATGATTTTTTAAAATATCCTCTCTTTTCTTTCTAAGTATTATTCAGAGTCTAACCATATTTACTGTTACTTTGCTCCTTTTCTTGAAGAGAAAAATGTTAAACATCCATGGACCCAAAGGTGGAGATATTTCGTTTGATTTCTCTTCAGTCAGGATACATAAGGTTTACAGAGAAAACACAGATACCCAACAATAATTAATTTTTTCTACAATTTAGAATGTAAGTTGGAATATGGAGCCTGCCAACATGCTCAACTCTGGTGATAAATTGTGTATGGTACATTCAGGTTTCCTGTTGGCCCAGGTTTTCTGGTATCTTGTCAGGACCTGTAATATTCCTACTGTTTTCTTTCAGCTGCAATTAATACTTCATGAGATAAATCAGACCAGGATGAAAGGTCAGTTCAGATGTTCAAAGGCAGAGAGGAATAAAAGGATGGTTATGAGATCTATGGAAGTGCTGAGAAGGGAAGAAAAATGGACAGAGAAAAGGTCTGTGGATAAATGAGTTCATTTACTTTGTCCATTGTGGTTGACACTTGGACACCACCCTGTGCACTCTGAACAAAAACATTCACTTACTGAGCCCTCACTCCCCTACAAATGTCAATAAGATAGTCTATTCACACATGAAATATACCTAAAATTACAACTCTTGCTTATTTCTCTGCATTCATGCCTGTATTAGCCAGGGTTCACCATAGAAACAGAAGCACCAAGCTGTGAATTTATATGGAAAGAGACTTGAGAAATGTCTCATGTGATTTTGTAGACTGGCAAATCCAAAGTCTGCAAGGTGAGCCAAAAGGCTCTGGATTCAAGAAGGAGTCAATGTTATAGCTCAAGCCTGAAGTCTGTCTGCTGGTAGTATTCCCTTTTTGGGGGGATAAGTCAGTTTTTTCTTCTATTCAGTCTTTCAACTGATTGAATAAGGTCCTCGTAGATATAAGTGAGTAGGAAAGAATTTATAGCCATGATTAGCTTGTTATTCTGATAACAAAAAATAATACCAAAAATACCTATTCTTTCAATAATAAACATTGATTAGTCAGTCATCCTACATGTGTATCATTGATTGAAGATTGCCATGCTCCGCAATGTCATTCAGGGATCCAGGCTATGGAAGCTCCGTGAGTTGCTTTTTTTTCCTTTTATTTTGGGGTGTTTACGTGTGTGTGTGTTGTGCTGGGTTTGTCTGTTTTTTGTAGTGACAAGGTCTCACTATATCATGCAGGCTGGTGCAATGGCACAATCTTGGCTCAATGCAACCTTCACCTCCTGAGCTCAAGTCATCCTCCCATCTTAGTTTCCCAAGTAATTGGGACTACAGGTGCACACCACCACACCCAACCTTTTTTTTTTTTTTTTTTTTTTTTGTACTTTTCTTAGAGATGGGATTTCACCATGTTGCCCAGGCTGGTGTTGAAGTCCTGGGCTCAAGTGATCTACCCACTTGGGCCTCCCAGAGTCCTGGGATTACAGGCATGAGACACCAAGGGCCTCCATCAGTTTTTAATGGCATTATTTGGCATATGCAGTTAAACAAGAATACAATAGACAACAGGGCACAGAAGTATGTGCATGACATATAACATGTATCAGTGCTAGTTTTTAATTGATCATGTGAAAATGATCAAACTTTTCTTAGAAAAGTAGGGAAAAGTGGCCGGGTGTGGTGGCTCACTCCTGTAATCCCAGCACTTTGGGAGGCCGAGGCAGGCAGATCATGAGGTCAAGAGATTGAGACCATACTGGCCAACATGATGAATCCTGTCTCTACTAAAAATACAAAAAAAATTAGCTGGGCGTGGTGGCACACACCTGTGGTCCCAGCCACTCGGGAGGCTGAGGTGGAAGAATTGCTTGAACCCAGGGGGCGGAGGTTGCAGTGAGCCGAGATTGCGCCACTGCACTCCAGCTTGGTGACAGAGCAAGACTTCATCTCATAAAAAAAGAAAAAAAAGTAGGGAAAAGTGGAAAATTATGAAAGCATGAGGGTGACCTAGTGAATGATTATAATTAAACAGCATCATTTATTACTGTGACATGCATAAAACTGCATACCTCAACCATACCTCAGCTTTCTGTTGAAACTGCTCTCTATAACCCAAATGTGAATAAGTAATTAAGGACTATAATCGCCACCTTACCCAGACAGTGTGTAAACAAATGCTAATCTTGACTTTTGTGAATCACTTAAAAAATAACCAGAACGTCAAAAAGGCCTCTGGCCCTCGGAATGTCCGGAGCTCCTCACCTCATCTTCGCCCAGGAATCCACTGGAATGTCCGGAACCCCCACACTGCCAGACCCCGTCCCACACCCTCACTCCCAAGGTGATTTTTATGGGTATAAAGGGTCTTCACACGCTCCTTTGGGGGCCACGGGTTGGAGAGACGTGAGTCCTCCGTGGCCGCCGGCAATAAAGACCCTGCAATTTGGCATACTTTTGTCTTGGTGTTGACTTTCTATGCTCGGGCAAATACAACATTACCTTCCATGTCCTCACCTGCCTCAGTGGCAGGGTAACAGGACACGGACAGTTTAACCTCTATTATTCTCTGGAATCCATCCTCATCTGGCCTGTCTGGATTAGGAGCAGAAAGTGGTAATTAATTGATGGACTCTTAAGATTCAATGACATTTTGAGAACATTTTTTTAATGAGTTCACACTAAAGATCCTTTTATTTATAAAAATAATTTTATTTTTACCATTCACAATGACAGCTGCTAATCCTCATTTTGTCAGCCCATATTTGTTGAGCTTTCTAACTATCTTCCCCATCAGACCACATTTCAAGAAGCTGCGTCCCAAGTCTCTGGATCTTTATTTTACTTGCTTAGGTCTTAAATATAAGATAGATTTAATCCCAGCTACGCAGGAGGCTGAGGCAGGAGAATTGCCTGAACCGCGGAGGAGGACGTTTCGGTGAACCGAGATCACGCCATTGCACTCCAGCCTGGGTAACAAGAGCGAAACTCCATCTCAAAAAAAAAAAAAAAAAGATAGATTTGACTAACAATTTTAGAACTCCATTGGAATTCTAAGTGTTCAGGCAAGCTGTAGAATGTATAACTGTAACTCACATTCTTTTTATTAGAATATTCTTGCTTAAGTAAACTGCATTAAGAATAATAGTGAATGAGTGCCCTCCTGGTACAGCAGAAGCTAGAAAGTACTGAAGCATTACTATTCCCCAGGGTTTATTGTTATGTAAGCTCTT